AAAAAAAAAAAAAAAAAAAAGACTTAGTCTTTGAAAACTCTATTGTCTAAAATAGCAAAAAAATGAACATAGAATGGCTAGGCACCCATAGCTCAGCGGTTAGGGCGCCAGCCACATACACCAGAGCTAGCAGGTTTGAACTTAGCCCTAGCCTGCTAAAACAACAACTATAACAACAACAAAAAATAGCCAGGCACCTGTAGTCCCAGTTACTTGGGAAGCTGAGGCAAGAAAACTGTATAAGCCCAAGAGTTTGAGGTTGCTGTGAGCTGTGACACCATAGCACTCTACCAAGGGCAACATGATGGGACTCTGTCTCAAAAAAAGAATACAGAAAAAAACAATCAACATAGTAAGTCATATTTCTTTTTCCTTTTCTTTTTTTTTTTTTGGAGACAGAATCCCACTATGTCACCCTTGATTTAGCAGGCCTAGGCCAGGTTTGAACCTGCCAGCCCCAGTTTATGTAGCCAGTGCCCTAAATCACTGAGCTACGGGCACCAAGCCAGTATGTCATATTTCTTTAGGAAATAAAAGTTTCCCACAAAGTTGATCTACACTCAATTTACTTTAATATTCTTAGTCACCATAAGTGAGAGGATAACCAATAAGGAGATAGAACACTATGAAGGTGACAGCCACCATTAGAAAAGATTTATGTTCGTGGGCTTCAAGCTTCAGTCTTCTCTGGATGTCTCTATGGGATACAGCAAAAATTCCTTCCAAAAATATCCTCCAAGGAGAGCAACGCAGGTAAACCAACAGTACAAAAATCTCGCTCAACCTTCACTCAACACAGAATTGCTCCAAATTACTTCATTTACAGAATGGAGTGAGTTTTCAAGAGAAGAAATCGTGGCACGAAGTGGTCACAACCAAATTTGGTCTGGGAAATGGTGATGTTCCTCAAAGCAAAGTGCCACCAGCTGCTTCTGCATTCAACAGTTCCACTGAAATATAGAAGGCTGCACACATGTCACAAAGACCTGCCCACCTGCCGGCCACAGTTAACAGGATGCTGCACCTGAAGGGAACACCTAGTACTGAGCCATGGAGAGCAACCCGTGTGTCAATGACCCCAACTTGCCAGCCTTTCCCTCACACCTGCCCACTTCCCACTCCAAGAGTTAAGATTGTTTTTTTTGAGACAGTCTCACATTTTCACATT